AGTTATTCTGATAACAGAAAGCCAGAAGTAAGAGAGAAAAGAAAACATAATACACTTTATACAGGGTGATGACTGAAGGTGAGATACAAATCTGGACCATGGCAGGATTTGAACCAGCCAGTATAAATACTAATCTGCCAAACTACGGCTATCTTAGATAGTCAAATCATAAACAAGACACTTTAGTATATAAACATAACAAAAGCCAAACATTTGAATTAACAAGATGAAGTCATGCCTTTTTCAACAGTCATATATTAACAAAATTAAATTGTCAACCTATTAGGAGCTGGAACGAACAATCAGGTTTGTGTATTTCATCTTGGATTGTAGATTTTGTAAAACTTATTCTGTTATTATTTTTCCCTTGAGTTCCTAGTGGAACATACAGCTTCAGTACCACGCCTCCATTCCACTCTCTTCTCTCCACCCTTTCCAACCTGGCGCCAAGAATGCCCACAAGCTTTCATTTCTTACTCACACCATCTCCCTCATATCACCCTCACCTCGAAAGCCCGACCCATCGTTTCCCATCTAGGTTCCACTTGACGGCCTGGCCTGGCACGTTACCTACAAAATCGGCCTTCTCAATGTATGCCCGATCCATATCCACCTCCACATTCTTCCTCTGCATATTTGTTGGGTGATTGGTTCTTGCTTCGTTCATTACCAGACCAGCCATAGTGACTTCTTTGTTGCTTGTTTTTATTATACTGGCCAACTGTTCTGATCTTCAGTATGGAGTGAGCGTAGGTGTTAGGCGTTGATGAATGTGTGTAGTTTGTTGGAAATGCTTTTGGTGTCACGTGAAGTTTGTGAAGCATACAGTGTATAGCAGCAGTGAGTTGGTGGAGTTGATGTTGAAAATGTGGATGTTGTTCACGCTTTGTGCTGAGTGTAGTGTAGTGTAGTGGAGTGAAGTGGAATGTAGTGGAGTAGATCTGCACACTGACTATTTCAGATTAATGCAGGGAGGTCAGTCTTGCTGTTTTTGCGATCCTGGCTGCTTTGACATCATCGTGTTTGCCTGTGCCAGTGCCTGTATTTGAGAGGATGCTGTCTAGGTAGGTAGGTCGATAGATAGATAGGTAGGTAATTAGGTAGGTGAAAAAGGCTACTTCTCTAAGGTTTCCCCATGTTAATGGTGATTGGTGCTTGTTGTTGTTGTTGATGGTGTTGTTGGTTGGGTATCTTCATCACCTCCTTCATTTTCTGTGTGTTGAACTTGAACTGTGATTTATCACCAACTTCTTTGGAGGCTTTCAACTTGATCTTGAGGGTTCCTTGCACCAAACATTGAGTTGTGTCAACCTACATCTGCTCCTCTTCTTGAACGTTTGTGGAGTAGGCTGTGTCTCCACTTTCTTCACATTGAGATGAAATCGATCTAACTTTTAGTGTGTCCATCTGGTGAAATCAATTCGGTGTCACTTTGTGAATATCCTTATGTTTGTACACACTGCTTCGAATCACCAAGTGATTGAATGTGGAGGAATCTGGAAACAGTCCTCCATTTTCATTCATTTCTCCGAGTGCTTCTCGACGCATGATTGGTTCCCTGCCTGTATTGTGCACTCCCAGTTTGGCATTCATGTCGCTCATTATAATATTGATGTGACTAAGTGGAGTCTTGTATAGTAGTTAGTGATTGTAGTTGTTTATAGAAATGCTGGTTGTTCTGTTGATCTGCATTATTTGTAGGTGCATGGCGTAGTATTGAATGATTGTAAGTTTCCTTCCTTTTGAGTTGAATCTTGCTGTCATGCACGTGATGCTGGAGGGGAGTGGTTCTCGCTGTATGAGAGTCTTTGATGGTCTTGGGTACATCATTATAGCCAGTCGCAAAGTCAGTGTGCTCGTGGTTGTCGTGTGGGTGACAATATTGGAGTAGATTATTGAGTCCTGTTGAGTTAAGAGTTTGAAGAGTCCACTTCCATTCCATTCCGTTCCATCCCATCTGCTTTCACAGATTCCAAGTAGTTCTGTGCTATAGTGCCTCATCTGTTTTGCAATCTGTGCAGCTTTGTCAGTCAGCTTCAAGCAATGTTTGAACATTCCATGTCCCCATGTTTACTTTGGCTTTCATGGAGAGAAGACATATCGGTCGACTGGCTTCGTGAAGGCTTTAAGTAACCGACGTGATTTTGTCTGTCTGATTCTAGTGAGGAATAAGTTTACTTTTAGTGTTTATATTTCATTTGTGCTTTGAAGTTTGTTTAGTGATTGGATTAGTTTTATGGGATAGGGTTGGTAGCCGTATGCTGAATCTTCCCTCTTTATCGGGGCTTAGGCCGGGCTAGTAACTAATGAACTAGTTAACCAAGCGAGGTTTTTATTGTAAAATAGAGAAGAGTAATTGGTTGTTTGAGTAGTTGTTAGGTTAGCCTTTAGATTCACCTGAATCATGTTTGAACGTAGTATACAGTTTGTATAGCATCAGTTTCTCGTTACAAATATGTTTTTTTCAGCATTTTTAACTAGTGTAGGTTCGCTGAAGGCTATGCTTTTGTTTATATTCGGTAATTTATTTGTATTTTATCACTGTATAACTGTAGTCTATGACTACGGGACACAGAGACAAGGATTGACGTTGAATTTCATTGTCATACAATTAGTTATAATGAAGATAAGAAGTTAAGTGACAGGATATCTGGTTGATAAATGTGTAACGATAACTACATACAGTTGTTCAATAGAAATATCATTAGAAGGTCAATTAAATCTCTGCAACATGATTTGAAGGATCTAAGGATAAAATGATGACAACATTTTAAGAATACTACCGTAGACTGTAAATTGTTAATGTGTTTGGAAATCGGAGATAAATTTCTCACAAAAAATTTTCTCAAACAGAAAAAACGCATAAGTAGCAAGTCAATGTATATTTCCATGCATATGACACTCAAGTTATGAAACTTGTATTCATTGGTAACTGGCTGGGGGATTACAATAAGGCTGTCGGTTGTTTCGATTCACCTATGAATTAGAAAATGTTGGATTACACAGAATAAAATGGAAACAAGATGGGAGTTTAGACGCACTAGTGTCTACAGGAAACTTTTATACTCGAATCATTGCTTAGATTTCATATCACCTAACTGTATGTCAGTTAAAGCTGGTTAGGTAAAATGCGTTGAAGTATGAGGGCCAAAAAACTTACTAGTAAAACAGAAGATCTAAGACAAGAAACCAGATATATTAGGGATACCTTAGTTTAAGAAAAGTATGACTATTATTAGTAACACAAGTGTTCATAGTAGTAATAATAATGTTATTAATAATAGTGGTAACAATGTAAGCGACAATTCAAAACCTCTCCACTAGGCATCATCATAGAAAAGAGCATAGAATGGCAATTCACTCTCTACCTCAACTTCATTGACTTGGAAAAAGCTTTCGACAGCGTCGACCAAGAAATAATTTGGCAGCCGGTTCAACACTACTGCTTTAGTACCACAAATCTTTATCAAACTCATTCAACATCTATATGCTATATGATGCTATATGCCAAATGATTCACAATGGAAAACTCAGTGATGCCTTTGACGTGAAGTGAAGACAGGAGTAAGACAAGGCTGCTTAATGTCACCGATAATCTTTCTGATTGTGGTCGACTGAACTGGTTCATGTAACAAACTGTGAGGAGCAAGAAGATGGGCATGTGCTGTTGGACTGATGAAAAGACACTACAAGATTTGGATTTCACGAATAATTTATGTCTAATTTCGCATAAACTCGAAGATCTATAGGCGAAAAGTAACAGGTTGGCAGAAGAGGTGAGGCGAAGCAGCGAAGGAAGACGGAACTTCCTTCAGGTGAAGGTAGAGAAGACAGTGGTGATGATGATACCCAATCAACAACGACAACAACAAGCACCAATCACCATCAGCTATCTAGGCAGCATCGTTTCAACTACAGGTGAGACGGATGAGGAAGTTAAAGGCAGACAGGCCTGCTCTCATGAATCTGAAATCAGTGTGGAGATCTACTGCACTCCACTGCATTGAGGATAAAGGTGAAGATTTGGATTTTCAACACTAATTCAGCCAAGTCACTCAGTGCTTCCATGTGATGGTTGAGAGACTTGACGGGTTACGGAAAGCATTTCCAACAAACCACAGGCACACGTGAACAGTTGCCGCGTATGCTCACTCGATACTGAAGATGAAGATGAGATGGTGAGAATAATGAGAATAAGCAACAAGGAAATGTGGCCTGTCAACGAATCAACGAGGCAAGAACCTATTGGTCAACAAATATGCAGAAGAAGGAGGTGGAGATAGATTGAATTGGCCATAGACTGAGAAGATGATTAGGGGTCATCACACACCAAGTCAGACTGTCGAGTAGAATTTAAGTGGGAAACGATGAGTTGGGTATCCAAGACAAGGGTGTCATGAAGGAGATCATGTAAGGAAGAAATGAAAGCTTCTGCGTAGTTATGGACCCAGGTTTGGAAGACTGCAGAGAAGAGAGTGAAATAGTTACATGCTACTGATGGTCTATGTTCCACTAGGAACCTAAGTTAACTTGAAATGATGATTATAGACAATAAATTATGTCTGAAACATAATCTAGTGAACAATATTATTCGTTGATTGTATGATACACGTAATAAATCAATAAAGATGGAAGTTAATTAAGTCTGATTAGCTTTAATGAATACCGATCAATATTGTTTCACTTCATTAACGTTTTATATCTTTTATGGTTATTCGTTGCATACCTTTATCGCCTGTTAATTATGATAGATAGTGGTTAACAATGGTATCGAGGAGATAGATTGTTTTAAAAGATCAAATTATAATCCCTTAGATCACTAAGCCATAATAGCTATATCTTATGCTTATATTCATTAATAGATAATAAATTTATATCTAGTTTATTGTTTCATGTTGTTTTTAGATCTATCAACTTGTTATCATGAGAAATAAAGGATAATTGGTGGGATATAATTTACCTTAAATATACATATAGTTTACTCAAGACAAGATATATGAATGAATGAAATGTCTGATAATTGTAATGATATCCTCATGAAACGATCATTGTCGTTATCTTCTAATCTTTATTCATTGAATCCAATGAATAAATATCGTTCAAAGAGTTTAACTTATCTATCAGATATACATCAAACAAATTTACCAAATATTTATTTAATTAATAATAATGAAAATATTAATTATAGTGATCAAAGCATTTATACAATTAATAAAGAAAAACATAAAATTTACTACTCAAATGATATATTGAGTAGTAAGCGAAAAATAAATCATAATAATAAAAAAATTAATTCATATAAAAATTGTTATTTAATTAAATTTAATGATAAAGATAATGAAAATAGTAATGAATATTCATTTATTGAAAATAATTGCTCTATTCAATTAAATCATTACGATAATAATGATATTCATAATGTATATAATATAAATCGACAATTTTATTGTCGTGATTGGTTATGGGATAAATTATTAAAATATTTAATTACAAATAATAAATTATCTTCTATTCATCAAATTAATAAAAAAAATTATATAAATGATAAAATGATAGTAGAAACATCGAGTAAATTAGTTATATGTGGTGAATCAGGATCTGGTAAAACAAGTATATGTCAAAAAATTATTGAAACTAAAAAAAATTTATTAAAAAATTTAATAAAAATTATCAACATACAAAAATTATTAATAATACATGTGAATATGTTGCTAGTCATTTATTAGCTTATCATTTTTGTGATTCACGTAGTAAAAAATCATTAGAACAGAATATATTTATTCAATCATTATATAATCAATTAATATCTAATGAAAATCCAATTAGTTATGCTTTTAAAAAAGCAATAAATATTAAACATACTAATTATAATTTATTAAATAATAATTATTCATTAAATGATACTTTTAATAATTATATTATACAACCATTAAGATGTATAAATATTTTAGATTTATTTAAACATCAAGATAATCATAAATTATTTAGTATAATTGATCCTTTCAATTCACGTTTCTTTTTATTGATCGATGGAATCGATGAAATTTATACAAATTTAGCAAAATTCAAATTTATGCATGATAAAACGTTTACTAATAATTATACTGATAGTAATAATAATAATAATAATAATAATAATAATAATGAAGTGCCTAATGGAAGTATTTTACAATTATTAGCTAATCATTCTCATCTGTTCCCTGATTGGTTAATATTAATAATTACTTGTCGACGTAAATATCGATCAATTATAAAATATTTATTCCCTGGAATAAAGACTATAAGTATAGATGATTTAAATAAATCAATAATTGTTCAAGATATTCAACAATATATATATAATCGTTTTATTGAAGATAATATACAATGTTCAAATGAAATTATTGATTTATTACAAATTAAAAGTAGTGGATGTATACTTTATTTAGAGACTATATTAGATTTAATACGTGATAAAAAAATTACATTAAAAGATATAACTTTAATACCTGGAACATTGAATGGATTATTTTTATGGTTATTTCAATATATATTTCCTAATGAAAATGAATTAGATAATAATAAATTATCATTTATATATATTAAACCATTATTAAATATTATATTAGCATCATATGAACCATTATCTGTGTATACATTATATTCTATATTATTAATTTCAAATCATAATCTACTAAAATCTACTTATTATCAACAACTTAATCAATTAAAACCAATATTATCATTAAATTATAATATAATAAATAATAAAAAAATTAATTCAAAATATTTAATTGATAAATTAATTGTACAATTTTTTCATAAAATATTCGCTGAATGGTTAATTGATATAAAATATTGTACATCAATATATTTATGTAATATATATGATGGTCAATTAATGATTGAAAAAGCATTCAAATCAATGATTCAATATGATAGATTGACTTCATTAAATTCAAATAATAATAATAATGATAATAATAATAATAATTTATTAATGAATCAATTGAACATTGATCATATGAATAAAACAAATCAATTAATTAAAAAAAGTATATCAATAGATTCATTAAATTTAAACATACAACAATGTAAAACAATAAATTCATTAGATAATAATCAACAAGAAAATACTGATACATTATTATATAATACTAATAATCAAATAAGATATAATTATTCAATATATCAACAAGATACTATTAATAAATCAATAATTTCTTATGAATTAATATCAGCTATACGACTAGGAGAATATGATAAAGTTAAACTATTACTTGAATCACATGCTAATCCTAATACAATTGATCAAGATGGTTGGTTAGCTTTAAGAACAGCAGCATGGGGAGGATATTCAAGTAAGTTATATCTTATACATTATAACTAGTTGATTATTAATTAAATTTATTATTTTTCCCTAGGGTTCCTAGTGGAACATACGGCTTCAGTAGCACCTCGCTCCGTGACTGCCTAAAAGCTTTCATTTCTTACTCACATCATCTTCCCTATATCACCCTCATCTCGAAAGCCTAACTGGTCGATTCCCATCTAGGTTCCACTCGACGGCCTGGCCTGCCGTGTGATGCCCAATCCAATCCACCTCCACTTTCTTACTCTGCATATTTGTTGGGTGATAGGTTCTTGCTTGCTTCGTTACCAAGCCAACCACAGTGACTTCCTTCTTGCTTATTCTCATTATATTCTGACCATCTGATCTGATCTTCAGTATGTAGTGAGCGTAGGTGTTAGGTGTTGATGAATGTGTGTAGTTTGTTGGAAATGCTTTTGGTGACACGTGAAGTTTGTGAAGCATATTTTGTATAGCAGCAGTGAGTTGATGGAGTTGATGTTGAAAATGCGGATGTTGTTCACGCTTTGTGCTGAGTGTAGTGTAGTGTAGTGGAGTGAAGTGTAATGTAGTGGAGTAGATCTGCACACTGACTATTTCAGATTAATGCAGGGAGGTCTGTCTTGCTGTTTTTATGATTCTGGCTGCTTTGACATCATCGTGTGTGCCTGTGCCAGTGCCTGTATTTGAGAGGATGCTGTCTAGGTAGGTAGGTCAATAGATAGATAGGTGTGTAGGTAGGTGAAAAAGGCTACTTCTCTAAGGTTTCCCCATGTTAATGGTGATTGTTGCTTGTTGTTGTTGGTTGGGTATCTTCATCACCACTGTCTTCTCTACATTCACTTGAAGTCCCGTCTTCGCTGCCCTCCTTCTTGTGTCAACTTGTTAGTTTTCACCTGTAGATCTTCGAGTTTGTGCTACAAGACATTAGACACAAATCATCATCGTTGGCGAAATCCATATCTTCTAAAGTCTTTTCATTGGTCCAGCATATGTCCGTCTTGTTGCTACTCACCGTTTTGCTGTATGATCCAATCGACCACAATCAGGATGATGATGGGTGATAGTAGGGGACAGCCTTGTCTTACGCCTGTCTTCACTTCACTTGAAGGGCGTCACTGAGCTTTCCATTGTGTATCAATTGGCATATGGCGTCTTCATATAGTTGTTGAATGAGGCTGATGAAAGTTTGTGGTATTCCTTAGTACTGAAGCAACCGGTAAATTACTTGTCAGTTGACGGTATCGCAGACCTTTTCAAAATTGATGAAGTTGAAGTAGAGAGTTGACTGCCATTCTATGCTCTCTTCTATGGTGATGCGTAGTGTTGCAATTTGATCCGCACATGATTTATCTTCCTGAAGCCAGCCAGGCAGCCGACCTGTTTCAGTCGTAATTTTTAAATCCAGCGCATCCTTTAGTCTCTCCAGGATGATTTGGCATAATATTTTGCTTGGGATGGATAGCAGCATATTTGGAATAGGTAGAAAAAGACGTATATCTTAAAATAGTTATTTTAGGGGAAAAAATGAATATAGTATCCTCCGAAATGGAAGAAAAAAGATTTTTCAGAACTCTAGAAGGAACGAGATTTATGTCTGTAATCTGTATATCTTATTTCCAAGTGCAGCTTTTCTGTGCGCCGTTCACCTATCGACGTACACAAATATACATACACACATATATACAAGCAGAGACACGTGCACAAAGGTACACACACATACAGACATCATGTCACATGGTTAATTTAGTGATAGGTAACACTGATCGATAGAAACTTTTCACGCATTAATATTATGGTTTTGTATATTACATTTATAAACTGGGAAAACGCTAACAAGGAAAAGAGTGAAAAATTATTTGAAGGTTATTTCCTTATTCTAAGGTGTGACAGATAAAATGCATTGTGTATCTGTGTACACGAACACATATATGTGGAGTTACATTTATATTGAACAAAATACGAGATCAGAACTAGTTGAATAAAGAAACAGATGACTGAGTGTTTGTGCCCATATTTACAATTTATTACCGTTGAACTTATTGGACGTTGGTTTGAAGAAGCATTTACCCTTGTCTAATAATTATTTAGAGATAATATAAGCGAACAATGTTGTTTTCTTAAATTTTGAGGGGGTTGTGGAGATTTGGAAATATTTCAAGTTGTTATTCATCGAAGACTGACATCAGTTGGAGGAACAAAGGAAACCTGGGAGCACTGGACAGCTGTTTCGTCCTAGTATGACATTGGGTGGCGGTTTGCGCTATATCGTGAGCTAACAGAAGTTGGAAATATGGAGCATTGGATTCTGACCCAGTGGCTCAATGGTAACGCGCTGGCCGCGGAACCTGAAGGTCGCGGGTTCGATCCCTGCTGGTGGGGTGGTGGGTGCGCACTGCTGAGGAGTCCCATACTAGGACGAAACAGCTGTCCAGTGCTCCCAGGTTTCCTTTGTTCCTCCAACTGATGTCAGTCTTCGATGAATAACAACTTGAAATGTTGTTTTCAATTAGATCCTCCTAAGGGCGTTATTCTAATACAAATAGGTTAATATATATATATATATATATATATATATATATATATATATATATATATATATATATATATGAATTTTGATGTCATTAAAAAAATGTTGCTGACCAAATTGTGAGTGTTATCTGTATCATCTTTTTTAATGATGACAAACGCATCGTCCACATACCGAATCCAAAATTTCGGTTTGATCACAGGCAGAATGATAGCTTCCAGTCTCTCCATCACTGCTTTTGCAATTAGTCCGGATATTGATTATCCCAATGCAGTTCCTTTCATCTGCTTGTATATCTTGTCGTTGAATTGGAAGTATGTTTTCAGGTAAAGTCTGATGAGTTCCATCAGACTTGAGCATTTACGCTTTGTGTCTTCATTGAGCAGGAGAGACATAGTTTCTTTGTCTAATTGGGTTCGATGGATGTATATAGTGTTGTGACATCAAAGGATACCATTATTTAATCGTTTTCTCTATTACTACTTTTAATCTTTTCTGAGAATCCCGTTGGTTACTTGATGGAATGTCCGCATGATTGAACGAGGTGTTTAAGTTTTCTTAAAAGTTCTCTTGATATTTTGTGTATTGGAGTTCCCGAAAGTGAAACTATTGGTCGTATAGGGATGTCTGGTTTGTGTAGTTCTGGTCTACTGTACAACCGAGGAAGGATGAGTCCATTCGATTTAATTCGCCATTTGTCTGGTTTTGTTGTTTCTTCTGCTTTGAAGAGTTTGTTCAAGATTTTACTGATCTGGTTGTCCAACTATTGGATAGGGTTGGTTTCAACTGGTTGATATACATTTTCGTCTTTGAGTAATTCCTCTGCTTTCCTGATGTGGTCGTCTTTGTCCATGACTAAAGTAGAACGCACTACAGTAGTTATTGCTGATGATTTCCTATCCTAGAGAACACAATAAAACCTAGACCATCCACGTAGGCTAAAGGCAAAAAGTTGACCGGTAATGAGACCTACCAGTCTGCGAGCAATACAAACCTAGTGTGCAAAATAATCTACTCTAACCACTAATCGGATTGTCCATTACCATAACAACAATACCACCGGCAAGCGAACACAAGAAGAGAATACCAACCTTTGGCTGAGAGCTTTTAATGTCTGTACAACAGTTAAAACAATTGATAGCCATAGTGAGTATATACATTTTAAATGACGTTGACTAGTGCAGCAAACCTAGTAGTCATGAAGATAGATACTGAATGACGACACTGGGTGATGGTCGAGCTATGTCGTAAACTGACTGAAGTTGGAAATACGAACCACTACATCCCGATCCAGTGGTTCAATAGTAACGTGCTAGACAAGGAGCCTGAAACCCGCAGATTCGATTCCTGGGAGTGGGTGATTACTTCTGATGAGTCCCATACTAGGACGAAACAGATGGCTATCGAGTGCTGTCAGGTTTCCAATGTTCCTCTAACTGATGTCAATCCATGATGAAAATTCACTGATAAGTTAAACTAGTTAACAGTCAATAAGAGCTCAACCTTCAGAAGCAGCGGAAAAAAACAAAAGCTAGCAAAGGCACCAACAGGTCAAGAAAATAGCAATTATAAAATTATTTTGAAGTTATAACCAAACATTCAGCAAACGTTAGGGGGAAATTAAAGTTGTATAACATTCTGAAAAATCAATATAGATTGTTTTGATGCATGAATACAATTCACTCTTGATGGAAGTGGAAATTTCAACAAATATAGTTGTATTATATTATTTTTCCATTGGGTGGAACATACGGCTTCAGTACCGTGCCTCCATTCCACTCTCTTCTCTCCAGTCTTTCCAACCTGGTGCCAAGAATGCCCACAAGCTTTCATTTCTTACTCAAACTACCTCCTCCTCCTACATGTCACCCTAGACTCAGATGCCTAACTCTTCATTTCCCTTTTGGATTTCACTCGAGCGATTGGCGTGGCGCATGATGTCCCCAATCAACCTTCTCAGTGTGTATGCTCAATAGAATCCACCTCCACTTCCTTCTGCATATTTGTTGGGTGATAGGTTCTTGTTTGGTTCGTTACCAGGCCAGCCACAAACTTCGCGTGTCACGAAAAGCATTTCCAACAAACTACACACATTCATCAACACCTAACACCTACCCTCACTACATACTGAAGATCAGATCACATGGCCAGAATAATGAGAATAAGCAACAAGGAAGTCACTTTGGTTGGCCTGGTAACGAAGCAAGCAAGAACCTATCACCCAACAAATATGCAGAGGAAGAAAGTGGAGGTGGATATGGATCGGGCATACATTGAGAAGGTTGATTGGGGACATCACACTCCAGGCCAGGCCGTCAAGTGTCACCTAGATGGGAAACGACCAGTTGGGCTTCCGAGGTGAGAGTGATATGGGGGAGATGATGTGAGTAAGAAATGAAAGCTTGTGGGCAGTCTTGACGCCAGGTTGGAAAAAGTGGAGAGAAGAGAGTGGAATGGAGGCGTGGTACTGAAGTTCTATGTTCCACTAGGAACCCGATTGAATAATAATAATAGTAATATTATAATGCATAAAGTGGTTCATTTAATTGTAGGAACTTGTTTGTTTTCTAATGAAATCAGCTGCTATTTCTTTTTCATTGACTAGTTTTTATAATTAAATTATTCATTTTTTTATTAATTATTATAGGTATAGTTGAATTATTGATCTATTATGGAGCTGATGTAAATCTATCTGGATCAGATGGTAGAACTGCTTTACGTGCTGCTGCATGGGCTGGTCATGTTGAAACTGTTAAATGTTTACTTAATGCTGGTGTTGATGTAAATAAATCAGATTCTGAGAAGCGTACTGCATTAATAGCTGCAGCTTATATGGGACATATTAATGTTGTAGAAGTTTTACTCAAAGCAGGTTAGTCACTAAGATATACCATAGTGGATATGGATTTATTTTTTTTCATTTGATTTCTTTATTGTATATTTATTTATATAATATCATTAAGGATTCATTTCTATGTATGGATAGACTACTTTTCTAAGTAAATTGAACGTCTAAAACAAGTTTTTTTGCATGTATACTCGTAATGGTATATCCAGAAATAAATGGTTTATTCTAAACTGATTTAAGTCAAACAAAATGCAATTTGGAGGTTTTTACAAATTTATTTTTTGATTTCAGGTTGATATTCATCAGGGACTGAGATCAGTTAGAGAGACATTAGAAATCTGATAGTGCTAGATGCCTGTTTTTTCCAAGTATGGGAGGTGATGAAGATACTCCACCACCACCACCGCCACCACCACCAACAACAACGAGAAGCACTAATCACCATGAACGAGAGAAATCTAAAAGAAGTAGTATCTTTCACCTACCTGTCTAGTCACCATCCTTTTAACCACATACGTCAAAGCCAGGATCAGAAAGACAGCAAAATAGGTCTTTATTCATTCATCTGAAATTAGTGTGGAGATCTATTGCACTCCATTGCATTTCCAACAAACTGAAGACATATGTGAATGGCTGTCGCGTACACTTACTCAATACTGAAGATAAAGAAGAGATGGCGAGAATAATGAGAATAAGCAACAAGAAAATGTGGCCTGTCAACGAACGAACCAACCAAGAGGCAATCGGCCAACAAATATGCAGAAGAAGGAAGTGGAGATGGATTGGATTGGATTGGACATAGACTGAAGTGACGGTCTAAGGTCATCACGTGCCAAGCCAGGCTTTCGAGTACAGCCTAAATGGGAAATGACGAGTTGAGCGTCATGGAGGCGATTGTGTGAGGAGGAGATGAACGCTTCTGGAGAGTTGTGGAGCCAAGTTGGAGATACTGCAGAGAAGCGAATGCTGTGGTGACGTACTACTGAAGCCCTGTATTTCACTAAGAACCCAAAGGACAAATAATAAAAAATAATAATAATGGAATGACTCAGCAGTGTGCACCCATGACCTCATCAGAGGTCGAATATAGTGCCTTCAGGTTCTGTGGCCAGCACGTTATCATTTGACCACTTGGTCAGAGTCCAATGGTTCCTATTCTATACTTCTGTCAGTTCACGATAAATAAATCCTAAGTAACCTACAAATTGAATTAATCTGGTGCTCATTGGTGACTAGCTTCGATAAGCGATTAGGTCTCTATCCGGTGGTCCACTGGTAACGTGCAGGCCATGAAACCTGAAGGAACTGGGTTCGGACCCTAGTAAAGTAATGGATACGCACTACTGAGGGGTCTCATAATGAGACAAATTAACTATCCCGTATTTCCAGGTTACGAGTCTTTCTCCATCTGATATAAGTCCATGATTAATTCCAATTTGAAATAAACCAGAATATTTTTTATCTTGTCTTAACTTCTTGAAGTCTGTGAAATGCACTTGAGATATAGACAAACAAAGTATTATTCTAATGTTGGTTGGTGATTGAAGGTGAAGTGAAGATTTTGACCACAATAAGATCATCGTTTTTCTGATTCATTACTCTACCAACTTAGCTACAATACCCAACTACTCACATTGTGAAATCGTACAAATGGTTTATCAAAACTGTTCAACGATTCTTTTACCTCATTAACTGATGGCCATTTTTCTTTCCTCTATCAGTTATCCACTGCATAAAACGGTCTTCAATAGTGCCACAGATAACAATAGGGAGTGTAGTGGTTGAGTGTGTTGACCACTTCACTTACCCGGGAAGTAGGATGTGAGCCCTTGTGGCTCAGTGGCCCATAAAATCTCTGCACCAATTCAAAAGGCTCGGCTGATTTTTGCCAACTTACATCACCCGTTGCGCCACCGTGATATCCGATCGACTGCACAGCAGTCCACTCTGTTCTGCTGTATGGCTGTGAAACATGGCCACTGAAAGTGGAAGACATGGGAAGGCTTCAAGTGTTTGACCACTGTTACCTTCAAAGTATAGGCCGTATTCCATGGTGTCACCATGTGAACAACGCAGAAGTCAGGCGTAGGTGTAGAGTTTTAGGGATGGAGAAGAGGTAGGTTAGCTGACACAGTTGTGAACCTTCATGGACTGAGATGGCTGGCAGGAACATGTGTTACGTATGCCTAGTCACCGACTGCCTCGTCACACAATGTTGGCCGAAGTAGGTTCAGACTGGTAAAAGGCTCGAAGCGGCCAGACTGAAACGTGGTATCAATGTATGAAGTCCTTGCCTGTTCGAAATATCTGCATAACGGTCCATTTGCCAGCAGACGTCAAGCCATTTGACCCAATATATCTAAGAGAGATCTCCAAACATTTGAAGTGATGAGTAGCGGGTTCACGTCTTCATGGGAACAGCATAACTCACTGGGGTGCAGAGATATATCCAGCCGACGAGTCTGAAACAGGGCGAAATGCACATCCTGGATTCCACTGCTTCCCAACAAGCACACTACAATATATATATATATATATATATATATATATATATATATATATATATATCAGCAGTTAGTTGCTTACATGTGAAAGTTACACTCAATTGTGATGTAAGACTCGGTAATGCACGTACTCAGGTTGATAACACGAAGTTTTAGAGAGGATTTCATTCTATAGGACTTAATAACAATAATCATTATTATTATTGTTTTTCCCTTGAGTTCCTAGTGGAACATAGAACTTCAGTACCACGCCTCCATTCCACTCTCTTCTCTCCACTTTTTCCAACCTGGCGTCAAGACTGCCCACAAGCTTTCATTTCTTACTCACATCATCTCCCCCATATCACTCTCACCTCGGAAGCCCAACTGGTCGTTTCCCATCTAGGTGACACTTGACGGCCTGGCCTGGAGTGTGATGTCCCCAATCAACCTTCTCAATGTATGCCCGATCCATATCCACCTCCACTTTCTTCCTCTGCATATTTGTTGGGTGATAGGTTCTTGCTTGCTTCGTTACCAGGCCAACCAAAGTGACTTCCTTGTTGCTTATTCTCATTATTCTGGCCATGTGATCTGATCTTCAGTATGTAGTGAGGGTAGGTGTTAGGTGTTGATGAATGTGTGTAGTTTGTTGGAAATGCTTTTGGTGTCACGTGAAGTTTGTGAAGCATATTTTGTATAGCAGCAGTGAGTTGGTGGAGTTGATATTGAAAATGCGGATGTTGTTCTCGCTTTGTGCTGAGTGTAGTGGAGTGTAGTGGAGTAGATCTGCACACTGACTATTTCAGATTAATGCAGGAATGTCTGTGTTGCTGTTTTTGCGATCCTGGCTGCTTTGACATCATTGTGTGTGCCTGTGCCAGTGCCTGTATTTGAGAGGATGCTGTCTAGGTAGGTAGGTTTCCCCATGATAATCGTGATTGGTGCTTGTTGTTGTTGATGGTGTTGTTGGTTGGGTATCTTCATCACCTCCGTCCTTTCTACAATAATAGTCATAGTTGATATCAATCAGTTTTTATCGGGAGAAGGCAACTTAGGCAAACAAGCCATCTGCATGAGAATTTATCATATTATACCGAATGTATATTACTAAATATATATATATATATATGGGTTAACTAATATCTATGATAAATTTACCTCATGTTGAATTATTACCGAATACGTATAAATTATTATTATTTTTTACCTGAAACATAATACAGAACGATAAATGTGTAAACTAAGTATATAACATCGATAAAACGAAATTCCATTTTCAACCTTTACATAATTAATACATTCCAAACTGCTACTTAAGTTGATATGAAATAAAAGAGATAGTGGAGAACATTTGTTGCTCAGGTGGATAGGTTTGGTTGTATTGCGTTCTGTCAGCTGGCTTGTTCAGTTGTACAGCTTTCATCATCTTCCTACATAACATCATCCACTTCCCTTCCGACTGGTTTACCCCATAGGTTACGCTTTCTCATTACAACCTTTAAATATCCATCTTCAACCATGTCAATAATAAGCGCTATATGACTATTTAACAGAAGTAGGAAACTGTGAACTCAGTGGATGAAAGGTTAGTGAGTTTCCATGAAATCTGAGGTTCCTGAATTCGATCCCTAGCCGGGTTGTGAGGGTGTAATGCTGAGGAATTACATCCCAACATGGAACAGCCACCTATCGGCTGCTCTCTGGTTTTATATACTTCTCAAACTAATGTCATTCCATGATGATTACTACCTTAAAACTTCAATATACATTTCAGTGAGTAGATAATTAGGTCAGACATGTAGTAATTCATGAAAGAACATATTTATTGACTAAAGGTTATAGATATGCAGAGATTTTTTCGAAGCTATGTGTATTGAACATGTGGTCGGTTATGAACAGTGAAACCCTGAGAAAGCGTATGATTAGCTCATATTTTCATAGACATATGTTAGCTTTCTTGCTATCAGCTCCCACAATCTAAGTTAACCTAAGAAATTTACAAGACTGAAATTATTTGACCTCCTGTTACCTCGAGGAGACTTCAATGCTGACAGAGTTATGAGAGCGATTGACACTTCTCTACTGCCCACACCCTGGAAGGTAATTTCCTCTCGAAGTGAATGAAAAAGAAAGGTTGGTTAGAGGTCAACAGACATCTGCTTGAGGCTGGTTATACACAGCCATTTTAGAAGGTAGAGATTTAATTTTATCAGTTGTGATCTGTAGTGCACTGTGTTCTCTCAGCTGGGTTGTTTGGTCATACAGCTTTCATCGTCTTGCTACACAACATCATCATCACCAACTTCAGTATCAGGTGGGCTGTCAGCATCTCTCTATGAGGGATACTACATAGTATACCCTAACCGTAACTGGTTTGTGTGTGATTTGTTGTTTCTTTCGATTGTTGTGTCATTGACTAACTGTATAGATTTTCCTGTTGGCTATCCCTCTTCTTTTCTAGGAAGTCATTTACTACTAAGTTGTTCATGAATATATATGCTATAGTGGGCAGAATGTTCTAGAATTGTTTCCGGTCAG